TTTTTTGGAGTCCTTACCAATATATTCAAAGAACTGCATTTAAAAAAAATATATTTAAATGTAAAGATTCTCAAAATGTATAGCGTCAAATTTCTAAGAACTAGGTAGAACTTTGAAATTCTGGGGTAGCGAAATAAAGAAACTCTGAAAGAAACACGAGTGGACCCCCCACTGAAAAAAATATATCTGAAAAGACACATTTTAATGCTGGTTCTGAGACACTTGAATAGACACAAGGGCTGTGAACATCTTGCTCTCACTGAAAAAATAGAAGGCAAAAGAGGAAGGGGCAGACCACGAACAACTTACGTGAAAACTTGAACAGAAGGATGTTGCGGAAAGGTCGGGACAATAAGATAATAAGCATTTGGAGAGAATCCTTGCAGGGAGATGAGTGGCAAACCATGGTCGTCGATGTCTATTTCTATTTCACACCTGCCAGCTCTGTGATGATGATTGCATACAGACCTAAAATAATATCTTCACTTCTGCGTCCAGAATCATTGACTGCGTCCTTCTTCTTTATCTTGAGACTTCACTACTTTAGTATTACAGAGTTCTGTCTGATCAGTCAGTGCCTTGTTTTGGGAAATCTGACCTAAAGAATTTTGAATTTCACATCATATCAAGATTTTTCAAATGCAATGTTTTTCAATATCGTGATAACGACAGCAAACAATTTAACCATTTCGATAGAGCATATTATAGAACATTTTGGTTTCTGACCTCATGGTTTGAGTAACTCAAACGGCCAAAATTGTCAGACAGAACTGGGTAATTCTAAGGTTGCAACTTGCCTTGGCCTAAGTTTACTTCATAGTGACTGTGTGTGCGTGCATGTGTGTAGGTGTGTGTGTGTGTGTTTGTGTGTGTGTGTGTGTGTTTGTGTGTGTGAGAGTGTGTGCGGGTGTGTTTGTGTGTATGTATGTGTGTGCGTATGTGTATGTATGCATGTGAGGGTGTTTTGTTTTTGTTGTATGTGTGAGTGTCGTAGTCTACAACTTCTAGCCTTTCCTTTAAAGTAAGGACTTCTAGTTTTCTGCCACTCCTGATTGACATAATAAATATGTGCACTACATGTATTTCCTCACTGATCGACTGAGCAGATATTTCACACGCAGTTAACAATGGGTCCTTCAGACGATGCAGTTCACCCATTCAGTAGGTCACAAACTGTTGCATAAGTTCATAAAAGGTTTCAATAAAATCTATCAGTATTTCATGTATAAGTATGATAGAATCTCTACGGCCATCTCAAAGCCAAGCTCATTGTTCATGACTTTGGAAAAGTGCCAAGGAGAGGGCGAGCTGATCCTCTTTGAAATAAAAATAAAACATGTCGTCACAGACTGTACGTGCAGCAACAACAGCCGGCGGCCACTCAATAATAAAACGCATTGTGCTATTTTTTCACGAGGAAAATACATATCTTGATTCATTATCACCGTTCTTGCGTTGGGCTGTGAATTCACGTATTATATTCTCCACAGGCAAGAAAACATAGTTAAAGAAACGAAGACAAAAAGAAAGAAATTGTTTGGAGTTTAAACTTTTAAGATCATTGTATATTTATTTATGGAATGTTTTATACAAATGTTTAGTTATAATATGCCTAACTGTCCACGTCTCAGCGAAACGCATTTTAAAGTTTTGTTAACTCCCCAACCCCACACGAAAAGACCTTTTTGAAGGCAAAGCACTCGGCTTGG